AGTCATCCCCGCCGGTGTTCTCCCAACCGCCGTCTCCATGATGCGCCTTGGTTACAGTCAACTCTACTGCTGCTGTTGCTACGATGGGGCTACCTGGGAGTTTCCGAAATTAGGGGTACCTTATTTTGGGGTCCTTATATTAAGGATCTTATTATTTAGGGTACTATATTAGGGTCCCCTATTTTCAGAAACCGATGGGAGTAGTTTTCTAAATTAGGGTCCCTTTTAAGTCCCCAATATAGTACGGCACCCTTATAAAAAGGACCCCAAAAGGGACCCTAATTTAGAGAACTACCCATGGGGCTACCTTGCTACTGTGTCACTACTATGTCCACGCTGTATGCTGCATCCTTGCCACTTGATGACTATGACGAATATAGGAGCCTAAATAATTAGAATGGGGTTTTGGGGCCCATTAGACTACCCCCAAAATAATATAGCTACTGTGCCGCTCCAGCTCAGCACGTGAACTTGTTCACTACGAGATTTCGGAACTTCAAGGTTTCAGAGGTGGAGGTAATGTAGTGACTTTGGTGGTTAGAAAAGGGTTTTGGGCTCCTGTATACTCTCGATATATAGTAAGGAAGTCATTATTTACGCCCTTATTTTATCTTGGAATCGGTGCGTTCGGCCGCGCTCTTTCTATGACGAGAACGTACCTGAGCTTAAGTCGTCTATTGGGGGGTGGGTGAAATCGGGGCTTCAGGCTGTTTTGCACCCCAAACACCATGAAACTCTAAGTCTTGAGCCGAACACCCCTAGACTCGGTGTCGCAGACACTAAGCCGGTACAGTAGCAGAGATTAGGTGTAAAGCAGGGCCTCAAGAAGTGGAATAAGGGTTTCGGGTTTCGGGTGTAGAGTGGCGGCCGCAAGACGACATAATGAGGGTGTATTCGTCTGATTAACTCCGACGCCTCGACTGCAAAATATCAGCAGCATGAACATCATCATCGCCGTCACCGTCACTACCAGTCACTACCACTTCATCATCCGGAGGATGTGTGGCTCAAGGCCTGTGCGGATTAATGTGGGCAAGAAGCCGTTATCAATGCCTTGATATCAGTCATTGTCATTCTATATACAAAAGCATGCCTGGGAATGCACACATATGTATGTAGAGGAAAAACAGCGGGCACGTAGGTATAGAGCACGAATCTATGCGCAGATCCGACCCAGATCCATGGGCGTGAAGATACGGACTTGTGTCGCTGAGGGCATCAGACGACATGGAAAAGAACTTCACTTCAACGCAATGGGCAATGTCATAAAACCTTTCAGCTTCAACAGCCAACCTGTCCCACGAATTGCTGGCTTCTGGCACAGCCTGGGTCATGTCATCCCAGTTTCCTCCTGCATGATGAGAGGAACGTCTGTCCATCGACTAAGATGCCGCACGCTGCAGGCCGAAGCCCACCCTACTTGCCACGAGCTAACCTTCAGACCACAGAACAGCGAACCTCGCGACCTGGAGATAGACTGGAAGCCAATTAGCCAAGCTGGGTGACAACCCAAGAATTCTTCGGCAGCCACGAGCTTCAGAGGTCATGCTGCTCCAGAGTTCGACTGTCAGACAGCTTGTAAGATAGTGATGGTGTCCTTCTGGAGTTGTGACAAACCTCTTTTCATGGAACTGCGGTTGTCGTGAGATGTTGTTTCAACATATTGCAGTAACAGCTGCTGCAGGAAACGACATTGTTATTGTACCGTCACCGTGTTCATGCGATTCTCTCTGGCGCAACTAGGAAGCTGCAAATCTTCGCGTGCAAGCTAGACTGCTCCGGTTCCTGTACGATTGCCATAGATTTAAATGCTTACTGTCTCACTTCGATAAGTCCTATCTGACTGTGGTAGTACAGTGTTGTACTCATGCGTTGTCGAAAAAGGATCATGCATGCAAACATTATGGATGTAGGTATTTCAGCTTCATTCTCGTGTCATATCACCCTATCATGGTCTAGCTATCCATTTGTCCTGTCCTACTTCTCCAACGGTCGAGAGTGAATTTTCGTCGTTTCTTTCCTCTGATTACGTTATCTTTGGATCTGCTCGCGCAGAGCCTCCTAAACCCGAAACTCTAATCCCTAAGCCCTAAATCCTAACCCTAAACCCTAAACCCTAAACCCTAAACCCAAAACTCTAATCCCTAAGCCCTAAATCCTAAACCTTCCATATTTTTTCTCTCATCCTGTAGCTTCTTCTTGCAACACTACATACTACGATATGGGAGTTTCCGAAAATTCGGGTACCTTATTTTGGGGGTCCTTATAATAGGGATCCGATTATTTAGGGTACTATATTAGGGTCCCCTATTTTCGGAAACTACCATATTGCTGGTGTCGTGATTAGTTAAGGATCACGGAAGCCTTCACAGACGTTTCTCCATCTCTTTGGTCTGAACACTGGCCTCCGAAAACTGATCTCAAACTCCTCATACGCCACAAGATGAAACTGCTTGACACGACGACGAGTAACTCCTAATACTCCAGACTCAAACCTTAAACCCGGAAACCCTGGCATCTTAAAACCCTCAAGGGGATGGCCCGCTCCTGCACCGGCTCCCTCCCACTGGCCCGGAGCGGGCTGTGCCTTCACCACTAAGAGATCTGCTTGGAGGCCCAAGGGTTTAGGGTTTAGGGTTTAGGGGTTTAAGGTTTGGGTTTTTGGGGGGTTTGGGGGGCTTAGGGTTTGGGGGTTTAGTGGTTTAGGGTTTGGGGGTTTAGGGGTTTAGGGTTTAAGTGGGGTTGTAATTGGGGTTGCTTCTATAGCGTTATACTTATAACCTACTTACTATGTCCCCTGGGCCTCTAAGTGGTCTGCCCTTTCCACCCTGAGTTTTCAAACCCTCGAGCCCTAAGCCCTAGGCCTAACACTAAGAGAACCAGGGCTCTGGGCGGGAACTACTATTTAGGGTTTAGGGTTTAGGGTTTAGGGTTTAGCATTGAGGGCTTCAGGGCTTAGGGTTCAGGGGTTTTTCAGAGTTGAAGCACGAAGTGAGTCAACAGCACATGCAATCCCACGACCACACTGTGGGTGTGCCATACTTCAATATAGTGATCCCAACCTGTGATAAGCGAAAAGGGTAGATGAAGCCAGGGAAACTTCCCACCGCAGGCAGAAAATCAGAAAGCCTTAGGACCATGTCAGTGTAGAACAACCGAAACTGCATGGCACGACAAGTGAACCGCAGGGTTAAGCGGTCTTTGACCCTCTAAAGCCCTAGCCTATAAAGCCTAACGCGACCTGAAGCCTACATAACCTAAACCCGACACTGCCAGACACCGCGAAAACCCGAAATAACAACCAACCCTAAGATCCAAAACCTTGACCCCATACCTACGTAACCCTAAACCCTAATGTGCTTCTCCACCCAGAAGAGCGCCGAAGCAACCCTTACGCAACCCTCAACCCTAAGCGTTACTCTCCCTAAACCCCAAAACCCTAAACCCCAAAGCCCCTAATTAAGCCCCTAAACCCTGAACCCCTAACCCCCCCAAACCCTAAACCCCTGACCCCCCTAAACTAAACCCCTGACCCCCCTAAACCCTAAACCCCTGACCTCCCTAAACCCTAAACCCCCAGACTAAACCCCAAAGACCCCAAACTAAACCCCTCAAGTCCTACTTGGAGGCCCAGGGGACTTAGTAAGTCGGTTATAAGTAGGGTTATAGTTGGGGTAACTCCATTTAGGGTACTTAAAACTCGATTTATAACCTACTTACTAAGTCCCCTGGGCCTTCAAGTAGGCCCTAAACCCGTGCCTGGGGCGCTCCCCAGTCCTGGGCCTCAGGCTCCTCCTGGAATCGAGAAGAGGAGGAGTTAAGGGAATTTTGGGGTTTAGGGCTCTGGGGCTTAGGACTTTTCGGTGTCGGGCTTTAGGGTTTAGGAGTTAAGGGGTTTAGGGCTTTAAGGCTTTAGGGTTTTAGGGTTTAGGAGTTGAGGGCTTCAGGAGTTATGGGGTTTAGGAGTTAAAGGAGTTAAGGAGTTAAGGGGTTACGGGGTTAGGGGGTTTCGGGATGTAGGGATTGTGGGTTTTTTAGGTTTTTAGGGCTCAGGGGCTTTGGGTTTAGGGTTGTTTCAGGATTTCAGGGTTCAAGGATTAGGGTCTTCAGGGGTTTCATGGGTTTTAGGATTGCTGAAGGCTTTAGATAGTTTTGCTTCAATTGTCTTCAGGGTTGTCTAAGGTGTTTGGGGCACCCTAAACCCTAAACCCTAAGTTAAGCCGTAAACCCTAAGCCCTAAACCCTAAACCCTAAAGCCCTAAACCCTAAACCCTAAACCCTAAACCCTAAACCCTAAACCTTAAACCCTAAACCCTAAAACCTAAACCGAGAAGTCTTAGTTTTCATGGCTCTGAGGATTCAGAGGCCGGAGGGGCGGCTAGGCTAGGACCCTGGGCTGAGCACCTCTCGGGGTGTTATGCGAGTTTCCGACCAGAAGATACAGAAACCGAAGAAGATTCCACAAACCTAAACCCTAAACCCTAAACCCTAAACCCTAAACTCTAAACCCTAAACCCTAAACCCTCAACCCTAAACCGTAAGTTAAGAGCAAACCCTTTACGCATGGCTCGGATCTGCTCCTGAGGCTCCAAAGAGCTGTCAGGGCCGTTTGTCTTGGATTTGGATTTTGGGGGCCGCAGCCCGACAGCCAAAAGGTTAAGGTTTGGGGTTCAAGGTTTAAGGTTTAGGATTTAGGGTTTAAAGTTTCGGGTTTAGGGAAATGTCCACGTCACGGCTAGGGACGAGACGGCTTTAGGGTTCTGGGTTTAGGGTTCAGGGTTTTGGGCTTAGGGTCTTTGCGAAGAGGCTCGGAACCCCCAGACCGAGAGAACAAAAGATCGAAAGCAAGGAGACAGGCTGGGGAAGGTGTCAAACCAACCCTAAACTAAACCCTAAACCCTAAACCATAAAGTTACTGGCTTCGGGTTTTGGTTTGACACCCTCTTTTGCCATAAACCGTAAATGCCATAATAAAGGCTGCTTTTGAGGTGTTGCCCGACCTGCTGCATGATCTCCTCTGGGTCTCGCCAGAAGAAGGAATCCACCATGACATCCTCAGTCTTGAGGTTCAGGAAGTAGAGATTCAGACTCAGGATTAGGGCATCATCAAACCAATCATCCGAAGAATAGCAACATTATTCGTAGCAATAACACTATAATAACAGCTGTTCTTCGTCTAGTAATAATAGTCACCATCATCATCATCATCATCATCATCACCATCATCAAAAAAAAAGCAAGTGCTTCCGTTTTTTCTGCAAGTGCCGCTGAGAGGCCCAGGGCTGCGTGCGGGGGACGCTGCCACGCAGGTAGAGCACCTGCCGGACAGACGCCGAACCCTGGAAGCCAAAGTTGATTCATATCCTACTTGGTGTAGGAATTCCGGGTTTAGGGCTTTTGGGGTTTAGGGGATTTGGGTTTAGGGGATTTGGGTTTAAGGGTGTAGGGTTTAGGGTTTAGGGTTTAGGGTTTTAGGGTTTAGGGCTGTCCAATATCATGGGGAAGTAAAGGTTAACATTCGGGAATATATAGGGATTGCCTACTCTACCACTAGCATATGAGAGCCTTTATAGCTAGAATGTGGTTTTGGGGTTTCGCTATAGTAAAAAGTAGAATTGACATCCCAGGGTGTAGAATTGACACTATGGCTAAGGATTAAAGCCTTTAAGGGTTTAGGGAACTGAAACCAAGCATCTAATTCCCTGACCCAAGCCTGAGTGAAGAAATCGCCCCCTTGATATCCATCAATGGAAGTAGACAGCCCAAACGCATGCTGCAGGCCATCTGAGGGGAACGTGTTGCTCGTAAATCTCCCTTGTTTGGCTCGTGTTCTCTCGCTGAAGGCAAAACAATACGATGGCGGTGATGACAAGAGAAATGAAGACATGCAACATGATCATTCTTGGACTTTAGTCCGCGTCGAAACGGTCACGATGATGGTGGTGAGGTTGTTTTGTTTGTGCTGGCCCAGGCACGCTAACCCCAAATTCTCAATCCTCTTAACCTCACAAGCATAGACAGCTTAACCTGCAGAATTCATCGCAACCCTCTGGACCTCTAGAGCTCAAGTAGTGCTCAAGTTCTGCAAACCCTAAACCCTAAACCCTAAACCCTAAACCCTAAACCCTAAACCCAAAACCCAAAACCCAAAACCCTAAACCCTAACCCCTAAACCCTAACTCGAAAACCGGCAAGCCAGGCTGGGCCTCCCGGGCCAACATCCAGTAGAGGAGGGCGATGGACTCCTTTCCTCAGAATCAGAGCTACAGCGATCAGCGAGTGCCGAAGCCGGCGAAGCTCCCCAAAAAAAGGGCGGGGAAGGCTTTCAAGGCGCACGAAATGGTAGGCCCGGCACCCTTGTTGTTGGCAGGGATGGCCACATCGACGTTCTCCTTGGCGTCTAATGACTTACATGCCCGGAATGGTCCAGAAACGAGGGAGGACCCAGCGACCTTACTGTGCTCTCTTTATAATAGTAAACCCCCTCATACTTTAGACTCTAAAGTCTAAGGTACATTCCTTGCTTGAAAACTCTCATGCTATAGACTCTCTCGATATAATAAATATATATATATATATACACACATACATATATATATATATATGTATATATATATAGAGAGAGAGAGAGAGTTTAAGTAACGTTCCTTAAATTGAAGGGTACTGTGTTGGGGCTCTCTGGGGCTCCCTAAACCCTAAACCCTACAAACCCCTAAACCCTACAGACACCTAAACCCTAAACCCCGAGACTGTCTTGCATCCTGGAGGCCAGGGGAGAGTCCGTGTCGCAGAGGGCGATGACCGGGATGCTGGCATAGGCGGCCTCCGAGCAGTTTGCCACGGAGTTCACTGGGAGAAAGCAGTTTTTGAGGAGTCGGTTTTTGGGGTTCAGAAGTTTAGGGTTGAGAGTTTAGGGGTTTAGAGTTTAGGGGTCTAGGGTTTAGGGGCTTAGGGTTTAGGGTTTAGGGGTTTAGGGGTTCAGGGTTTAGGAGTTTAGGGTTTGGGGTTGAGGGGTTTAGGGGTTTCGGCTTCTGGGCTTTGGGGCTTAATCCCTCTTGAACCCGAAGTCTCTCGTTAAACATGCAGCACTTTGGAAACATCGATTTCTGGGGTTCGAAGCCCTGAGCCGAGATCAGACTTCGACTGACAAAAAGCGGGCCTGAAGCAATGTAGGGGCCTTAGTAATTAGAATAGAGTTTTAGGTTAAAGGGTTGAATAAGGGCTACTATAAGGGTTCGGGGTTTAAGGGCCTTAGTAATTAGAATAGGGTTTTGGGGCCCAGTATACTATAATTATACTAAGGAGCCCCCAAAATAGTATAGGTAATTATTAAGGCCCCTAGATCAAGCAGAATGCCAACGGCATCCGTGCTCAGGCTAGCTGCTAGCTTTGGTAGCAAGCAGACTTCGACGCTCTCTATCCTGATCATGGTCACCATCCTCATGATCGTCTTCATCAGTATCACCACGATCATCAACATCGTCGTGATCATCATCACCAGCTGCAGCTGCAGCACCGGCATTGTCAACATCCACAACATGATCGCGGTTGCCGCCCGTCCCCGCCATCGTAGCCAAGTGGACATAGCTGAGCCAACGAACTGATGTAGGGCCTGAATAATTAGAACAGGGTTTTGGGCTACATTATGCTACAGTCATAATAAGGACCCCCCCCAAACAAAATCGGTATTTATTAAGGCCCCTAATTACCGTACCTTCTCCCCAAGCCCCCGACCTTGGCACGCCCACCCTGCCTCCTTGATGGCCTGGTTGTCCGTGCGAGGGTCGGTCACAATGAGCAGGCGAGGCTCCAGGTACTTCTGCCTGGCCATCCCTAAATCCTAAATACTATACCCTAAACTCCTAAGCCCTAAACTCCTAAATGCTAAACCCTAAACTCCTAAGCCCTAAACTCCTAAGCCCTAAACTCCTAAGCCCTAAACTCCTAAATGCAAACCCTGAACCCTAAACTCCTAAACCCTAAACCTAAACCCTAAACTTTTAAACTCCTAAACTCCTAAGCCCTAAACTCCTAAGCCCTAAACTCCAAACTCCTGAGCCCTAAATCCTAAAGCCCTAAGCCCTAAACCCCAAACCCTAAACTCCTAAAGCCCTACACCAACACCAACAAAAAGGGCCCAAACCCAGGCCCTTCCCACGGGAGTAGGCCCAAACCAAGGCACGTGCCAAAAGCAGAACCCAGTGAGAATGCCGGATTTCCCATGGCACTCGGCAGCTAAGGCGTTGAGGGTGGATGGAGAACAAGACATGAGAAAAAGTGAGGCGAAGCTAGCCAGCAAGAGCGACAACGAGCTATGAAAGCCATTGCAACAGCGCGCTTCTGCAAGATTCGGAGCATGGAAACCAGGGGACAAGTTCGCAACTGTACATGTTTCGTATGTCTTCGTTGCAACTGACCAGAGACGCACACCACCAACACCAGCAGCAACAACAACAACAACAACAACCCCAGCAGCAGCAGCAGCAGCAGCAGCAGCAGCAGCAGCAGCAGCACGAGCAAGAGCAGCGGCAACAGCCACAGACACAGTCACCGCAACGGCCACAGCCACAACCACAGCCACCACGACGACGACGACAACATCGACGACGCCAGCGAGAACCACGACCACTATCACAACCACCAAACGAGTGCGGCAACCACGATTCGACCACGATGGCAATCATGATGGTGGTGTGGCGCTTCTGAAATTCGGATTGGCTGGTCTTGCAGCCCAAAGCACGTGATCTGGTTGGTCAAAGTGCCCGGCGTCCAGCGTCCAGCCAGAGGGTTGGCCTTCGTTGTTGTGTGTTAGGGACTGACTGTGAAGGGAGGTGTTGGACGTTTGTGACTCTGAGGTTTAGGGGGTTGTGGGCTTTGAGCGCAAGGTCGAGCATGGAACCGGTTATGCTGGGATTTCGGCAACCCCTAAGCCTCGCTTTCAAGAGCCGGAACAAAATCTGTTAGGGGTTTAGGGCTTGAGGGTTTTAAGGTTTAACTGCAGTGAAGTATAAAGCCACATCCTACGCCCCACTTAAGAGAAGGTGACGAGCATCTTGGGACCTTGCCCAGGCGAAGATTCCAACACAACAATAACCCACATTCCAACAAAAGCCCACAAATCCCTCGGATACTTTGGGCAACCTCATCTTGAACTTGACGAAGTCTGCAAAGCTGGTCAATGCAATATGGTGAATATGGGACCGTAATAATTGGGATAGGGTTCTGGGGGGGGGGGGGGGGGGCATCTTGTAGCATAATTACATAGAGACTATAAGGGAGCCTCCCCATCGGAGGTTTGTTCCTAAGGGGGCCGGCCCCTCTTGAAACACCGTGCCTTAAAACATCTTGGGCCGATGGATACTCTATCATAGCATAGCATAACATATCATGATATGTATGTGCACATCTACATATATATATATA